CTGTCCCCCTCAGATCCTCCTGGCTGGTGGAGACTATTTAAGGCTAAGTGGGTAAAGATAATAAAGAGGTTTAAACTGTGCCACACACCAGTTCATTAAAAATAACACATATTCTCTGAGAAGGCCAACAGTTTATAAGAGGATTATAGTGACAGAAGCAAAAAGGCTAGGCAAGGCTTTCTCCTTATTTCTCAGGCCTGCAACATCTTGAGTATTTAAGCTTGTTATTCATTCAGCAAATATTGATGATGGGCCTAGGATGGGCAAGGAATCAATCGGGGGCTACAGCGGGAGCCCAGTATGAGTAAGGTGTCATCCCTGCCCCCTAAGGGTCTCAAAGTGTTTACTGGAATCTTGAAATGCCCAACAGAATCAACCAGAAAGAGTTTCTCATCACCAAGCACTGAAGGAGTTTCTTGTGGCTTTTCTTGAAGAAAAAGGCGGAAATAAGATGGGGTATAAAGGACTCTAGCACAGGGAGGCACCGATGAGAAAAGCAACAGGATTGCAGCAAAGGACCGTGTGTTCTGAGTCATTTGGTAAGACAGGCAACCAAGTTCTTCAAAAGGTGACTCTGGGAAAAGGCCTACTGAGTGTGTGGGATTCTGAAGGGCAGAATAAACCAAGGGGAGAATTCAAAGAAAAGGGAAAGGCACTGAACTGGGGATGTAGCTCAGGGGTAGAGCACTTGCCTAGAATATTCATGGCTCTGGGTCTCATCTGCCGAAGTGAGGAGAGGGAAAAGGGGAAGGTGAGGGGAAGAGGAAAAGGAAGAGGCACGACAACAAATTCAAAGAAGTATGCTGAAGAATGCTGACAGCATAATCATCTGGTCTGGCTACAGCAGGGCTTCTCAAGGACCCAGGAACCTACCAGAAATGCATATTCTCAGGCCCACCCCAGACTAAATTTAAGTGATTCTGGGACAAGCTAAAGCCCAACACTGATTTGACTGGAGCACAGGACATATGGAGGGGGATAAGTGTGCTGGGGAAAATGGGTAGGAGGCCGGGAGGTGCCAGGGAATTCACACTGAGGTCTCTGTTTAACCAAAAGCCAGTGAAGGCTTTTGAGCAGATCAGTGATATTATAAGAGCTATGCTTGAAACTATACTTGAAGAAAACACAGTAAACATTATTTTTAAAGCCACTAGGAATGAGAAGAAAATAGACGTAAAAAGACCAATTACCAAGATAAGAGACAGGTTCAGACACCCTGATCATTACAATGTGGGAACATACAGAATTTGGCCAGAGTAGCTGCTGGGGAAGAGACAGGGAAAAATAAAATAAAATAAAATAAATTCAAAAAAAAAAAAATATATATATATACATATATTATTTTTAAATCATATAGACCAGGAAGACAGTGATCTTATTAAAATGAGCTTTTCCTATAGGGACAGTATCTAATCCTTATATCATTGTATCTGTAACCACAATATACAAAGTACAAATATACAAAGTTCTAAAGCCAAAACAAAAGCACACTGGAAACAGACATTCTGAGGGACCCAGAGGATTCCCTTAAGTCTCACACAAGAACTCTAGTGCCTCCACTTCCCACAAAGTAGCAAAGCCAGTGAGCCTCCCCAGCAGGAAGAGGACCCCAATGGGAAAGAAGATCCCTCCCCTGTTGCTTAGTGGCCCCACTGAGAAGATCAAAGGCGAAGACTTAAGAAGTGCAAATGCAGCACCCCTCCCCCAATCCCAAATGCCTCACAGGTTCTTGCTGACTGATGTGACCCATTTCTTCCTAGGAATTCAAGCAATGTGCAGTTCAAAGACTGCAATCCACCTAGCATGTGCCCCAGTCCCAGGTGGGGATAAGGTGGCTCGCCATCTCCACACACTTCCTGCTCAAATGATGATGAAACTAAAGCACGGCAAATGAATCACGGTATGACCATCTCGGAAAGAGGAAGGCTCCCCAGGGTATTGCAAAATAAGCAGTAGGAAAATGCAAGCATAATCTGAAGCCAAAGAGGACACAAGTGTGTTCCACTGAGCTGCATGTGACAATGACAATCCTCAAACAATGGTTAAAATACACAACCCTCCCCCAACACACAAACACACCCCCTATACACACAAACACGCACACCGCAGAAGGAGAAAATCACTGATATTTCTATTACAGCAGTTTTGGGCTCTTCAAGAAAACACGAATACTTAATTACAAGCATCTTTATTTTTTGGCTATACAGGGCCAGGGCCAATGTTTTCATTTCAGTCAGTTAAACCTTGGTCACACTATCAGGCTGAAATGTCAGATTCAAGAGTGAAAAGCAAAGCATTCTTTCATCTGCATACACTCCATTTGCAGGATCACTATTTTACAGAAGCCCATGCAACTTGAATCCCATGCAACTCTCGGATGGCCTGGCTTTCTGTAACCTCCTCCTCCATCACACAACCTACAGGAAATGAAACTGCAATCAACTCCAAGCGAGGGGTGAATTTTTTAAATGCATTTGCCGCAAGGATGAGGAACTAGGCCTTCTCCAGCATTAAACTGGAGCAGAAACTAGGCCAGAAGAGGGATCAGGACCTGATGTGGAAGAAACTGCCATACATCTTCCTATACGTCACCTTTAAAAGTTCATGTAGCCCACATCCTAATGGACTACTCTAACAATTACATTAGTATTATTTGGGCATTCTTCTCAAAAGTCCATAGAAAATTCATGAATGCTAATTTGAAAACGGAAAGAAACTTTGAAGTGTAGAAGCAGTTTCCTAGCTCCACCCAGTTCCATTGTGTGCAGGGTAAACTGACACTGCTGTGCCTCTGCTCTGAAGCTCTCTTTGCCACTGATTTGCCTGATGCTCCATCAGATGGTAGCTGTGGCCCCTCTGGACCTGAGCGGATCCCTTCCTAAATCTAGTCCATATGCAAATCGCCAGTGAACTTGCATAGTGGCAGAGAAGCTCTGGACTCAGGGTACCTGGGCTGGGACACGGGCTTTTCCCCTTCCCTAATTCTCCATGCCTCAGGTTCCTGTCTATAGAATGGATTTAATCCCAGTACCTACCTCACCAGATTGCTATGGATATTAACTGGCACCACACATATAATGTGCACAGGGCAGGACCTGGCTTTTCATAACTCTTAAGTATATGCTATTACTGCACCCCTAAAATGAAAAAAGAAATAAGGGCTTTAGAAATAAAATGATTGAAAAGGAAAGCATACACTTTCTTATTTACACAATTAAAATAGATTGTGTTGTGTCTGATTGAGAACATAGTCAACACAGTGGCATTAAATCAACTATCCTAGAGATAATAACTGACAAACTTGGGCCTGGTGACTTATCTTCCGCCTCCTCTTCCCAGAAGAAAGGAGCTTCAAAGGGCTCTGCAGGAATCTTGCTGGTCTAGATGCTGAATCTTCCCCAAAGGACCTGTGTTAAAGTCCTGGGCCCCCGTGGTGCCATTATTGGGAGGTGGTGGCCTGGTAAGAGGCTCTTAAGTGCCTGGGGTATATCCTAGAAAGGAGACTGTGGGACCTCAGCCCCTTCCTTTCTCTCTGTTCCCTGGTTGTGATAGGAGGGATTTTGCTCCGCTGCACACTCCTGCCATGATGTGCTGCCTTGCCACAGGCCCAAAGCAACAGGGACCAAAACTCAAAAAATGTCAATCAAAATAAACCTTTTCCCTTTATAAGTTGGTTTTCTCAAGTATTTCATTATAGTAACACAGAAAGCCAGCTAACACAAACCTACAATAAACACAGTACCTTTCCTTTCTTCTGGATTATTTTGGTCATCAAAACAGATCACCATACAGTAGGACACAGGGTTGAAAAACTGTGTGACTTATCATAGGATCATTTATGCCATAGGGAAATTCCCTAAAATGGTATGTGAGAATTAAATTTTTTTCAAAGTACTATAAGCCCTTTGTGAAAACTTAAGGAAACAGTTTACTAGAGGAGATTAGCAGCTGCCTACATTGTCTTCTGCTAGTATTTTAACAAACATTCATTCCTTAGTGTCTAGACTAGAATATACTCCATATGCAATGTCACACCCTGCTTTTTACCCCCTCTTAGCATTAATATATTGAACATTTCCCTGAAACATTGAGAATTTTGTATAAATGTCATTTTAAATGACCATATAATATTTGATCAGATAGACTAATCACAATGTATTTAAGCATTTCCCTAACGCTGAATGTGTAGCCCCTCCCCATGGTCTATATTTATAAATAATTCTTCAGGAAATATTTTAATGCATTAATTCATGCAGTCCTGATTAGTCCTTTGAGAAGTCAAAGAGTAAGAATTTTGAAGTTCATCATATTGCTTTCTAAAATAGTTGTATTAATTCAACCTTCATTATATGAGGGAATTCATATTTTTAAAATTGCTAAACCTGGATGAAAATGGTATCTCAATGCTGTTTCAATTTGCACTTATTTTTGTAACTAGTGAAGCTGAAAGTTTTTCCTATTGCTAACCATGTGTTTCTCCTTTTGCAAAGTCTGTACATAAGCTCTGTCCCTTTATCTTCTGTGGTCTTGTTGTTTACATTAGCAATTTGTATTTTAAAATTATATATTAAAAATATTAATATTACTACTTTCTTATAATGTTTTACATTCTTGGCAGTTTATCCACCTTTTGATTTATAAACATCCAGATTTTGTATAGTTTAATTTCTATGTAGTTAATCCTGTCCCTATTTTCTTTTGAGATAATTTTCATTCTTTTAAAGCTTACAAACTTCTCCACTCATCAATTAGAAAAATCACCGATATTTCCTTTTTCCTTCTATACTTTAGTTTGTTCTGACATTCTCTTCTCTTATCTATTTAAAATTTATTTTCATATGCAGTATTTTAAATAATTCTATTTTAAAGACAATAAGTTCAAAATTTAATGGAATCTTAAGAATTATTAAGGTGATTGATTAGGTAGCTATTTTCTAAAGTTAATGCTATTTAAAAAAAAAAAAAGGCAGTCAGTGGCTCTGGTGGCCTGAAAGAGTCCGAGCCCTTGCAGGGAGCCCAGGCCGCAGTTGGCTATGAGCACCCCGGTCATCCCCCGGGATCTGCAGCTGCCTCTGAGTCAGAGAGCCCAGGCTTCCTTCAAAGAGCAAAGAAGAGAAAAATTTAAGGAACATCTGTTAAAACGAAAATCACTTTTGACATACAAACAGGAAAATCAGATTTCCAGTAATAGAGTGATGACATCTGAAGCCCAGGTCCAAGAATGGACAAAACTTCTGAAACTTAAAACAAAAATGGCAGATAAAGAAAATATCAGAAGATATTCAGAAAGCACAAACGCAATGATGGAAAAGAACTGTATTCCCTTAAAGCCTGCTAATGAATCAACCAATTCTACTACAGCAATTGAAACACATAATTTTGAGGATGATAATCAAACTCTGCAGTTCTTACCAATTACAAATGATTCCCTATATCAAAATATGACACTAAGCCAGGCATTTCACCTTAAAAATAATGATAAAAAGAAACAGATAACTGCAGAAAAACCAAAGCAAGATGCTAACGTGTCCAAGAAATCTGTACTAGGATGTTATCGTGGCCACATTGTTCAGTCTAAAGTTAATTCATTCAGAAAACCTCTACAAGTCAAAGATGAGAGTTCTGCAACAACAAAGAAACTTTCAACTGCTCTTTCTAAAGGCACAAAGCCTAAGTCTGTGAACTCCAGCAGTGTAACATTAAAAAGTGATAGAGCCTCAAATATGACCACTACCACTACATTTATGAGCACTACATCTCAGAACACACAACTTGCATGGCCTCCCATTAGAAGCCACAATAACATCCAGAACAGGGTAAAACAAGACATCAGTAGAACCTCTGCCAATGTCACTGTCCGAAAAAAGCCTCCTGAAAAAGGACTATTAAAATCAAAAACAGTTCTACCTTGTGTCAACACCACTTCTCAGTACATAAAAAGATGTAAGGCATTATCCCAAAACATAGCATCTGAACCTGTAGCCAGACCAGTTTCATTTACTACTACTAAACCGACAGAAAAGTCAAAAACCTTTGACCAACAAAGACATACTATAGCAAAAACTACTGTGGATAGAACTGCTCAGCCCAAGGAAACTGCAGAAGAGAGAAAAGCTCATCTGAGTGAGTGGAAAGCCAGCAAAGGAAGAGTGCTGAGAAGGCCTCCTAACTCAGTCGTTACCCAGTGTGAGCCAGAGAGACAAAATGAAAATCCAGTTAGGTCCTTGTGGATCACCATGGCAGAAGAGGATGAACAAAGATTATTTACTGACAAAGTCAACAAGACATTTTCTGAATGCCTGAACCTGATCAATAAAGGATGCCCAATAGAAGAAATAATGACCACACTGAATGATCTGATTAAAAATATTCCAAATGCTAAAAAACTTGTTAAATATTGGATATGTCTTATATGAATTCAATCAGTCACAAGTCCTACTGAAAATATTATCTCAATCTATGAGAAGGCTGTTCTGGCAGGAGCTTAGCCTACTGAAGAGATGCGACAGACAACTGTAGATATAACAATAAAGAATCAAAAAAAAAGTAATTGTGGAGAAAACATTGAAGATGCTGATAGCACCAAGGAACAAATCCAAGAAATCAACATTGAGGATACAGGTGTTAATCTAGAGCCAGGAAAACTAGAAGTAGAAAATAAACATATTAGAAATGTGGTATTTCAAGACTGTGAAAAACAGCAAGATGACAAAACAAAAGATCCACCTGACAGTTTTAAAACCTGATACAGAAAATAGTTGTATTTTCAAGTTGCTTAATTAAATATAACATATCTACTACACCATATTTGCAAAGTATAAAAAAGAAGATGCAACTTGAAACAAATTCTGCATTTAAAGAGCTGAAGTTTCTAACATCAGTGAGACGTTCTCGACATCTTCAAGAGAAAACTTCTAAATTGCCAGATATGTTAAAAGACCATTATCCTTGTGTGTCTTCACTGGAACAGTTATCAGAGTTAGGAGGTGAATCTGATGCTTTTGTATGCCGCCCTAATGTAGCACTGTGCCCTATATTCTCTGAGACTGATACCGCAGAGGAGAAATGAAATTCCAGAAGGGAGGGAGGGATTTTATTTTTCCTGGCGTGTTTTGAGGGTGGCTTCATATTTCCCTTGAACCTGGAGTTGGTCAGGTACCTAAGTATTCATGGAAGTAAGATCCTATATTGACATTCATATCATAGGAGTTGTTCATCTATGTGTGGAAAGCCAATCCTATCAAGTCAATGTCAACAGACTGAGTTTTTCTTTAAGATAAGTAAATTTTAACAGTTTGTCTACCATGTTCCTTAAATATGAATAGATTTGTTATAATGTTACCTTGTTCACTTTATTAAATGTAAGTACAGTAATGACGCATCATCAGAAAATGAGGTGTTCTAGATAAAACTTATATTACATGGGCATCTTTCAAAAACTTATGATACACTTCCCTGCCTTTAAACAAAATAGTGACAATTCTTTTTTTTCCTTGATTCGATTAGCATGAAAATCAAAATCTAGGGCTGAGAGCTAGGCAGAGTGGAACATGCCTGTAATCCTAGCACTCAAAAGGCTGAGGCAGGAAAATTGTGAGTTCAAGGCCAGCCCGAGCTACTTAATGAGACCCTGTATCAAAAACAAAAAAACAAAAAATTTGGACAGGGAATAAAGCTCAGTGATGAGAGTGCATGCTTAGCATGCCTGAAGTCCTGTGTTCAATATCTAGCATCAAACAAAAAAAAAAGTAAAAAATAGTAATGTGTAGAGGTAATCCCTTAAGTATTAGAATATACAGGGTTTAGCTTACTTTTCCACCAAACTCATGTTATTAAGACTGCTGTACTCTGTTGCATCCCTTGACCAGCCTATGGCTCTTCTGTCTCTTCCTCTGTGACAGTCTGTATCTATTGTTTTTGCCTCTGCCTCTTGATTATAACTGAGTTTGCAAGGAAAGATAGTTAATTGGATATAATTGGATACCCCATGTCTAACTGAGGTATTTCTTGAAGTGTAAGAAAAAAAGGTGCCAAATTTAGTGGATATTAAAAACTTTACATCTAATCAGAGTTTTTCTGTTCTATTTTTTGCAACTTGCTTGACAATGTTAAAATTTTAACTTTTGTAACTTCATTTGATAGTTTATAAACTATATTAGACTTTGGGAATGAGATATGCATTTAATGTCACTGTAGTTTAGGTAGAGTTTCTAAAATAACCAATATTTATGCTTGCTTTCTTCTCCATAATATAAAACCTTCACTGTTAAATCATGTCCACTGGGACATGATTACTGCATAAAGTTTTCTTCCCACAAATAAATACCACCAATAAAATTGTTTTATAAGATTCAAACTAATACTTAAATGGCATGCATCCTCTATCAACTCTACAGTTTCAAATAAGTGAATACTAAAAGATCAGTTTAATAACTACATGTGAAATATGAATCTAAAGAACACATACTCAGTCTTATGTTTAGTCTGTTTTTTTATTAATTGTCTTCTCATATTCTAAGAGTAGGACTTTTATTCCTAATATGTGTACCTAATATGTATACAGTAAAAATATCTGTACAGTGAAAATAAATAAATAAATAAACCAACAATTATGATTCCATTTGATGTAACTACCTAGAATAAACAAATTCATAGAGACAAAAAGTTAATGGGGAGTGGGAGGGAAAGGGTGCAGGAAAAGGGAGCAATTATTGGGTATAGAGTTTCTGTTTGGGAAATGAAAACATTCTGGAGACGGAGGTGACACTGGTTGTACAACAATGTGAATGTATTTAATAATATTAAGCTCCACACTTAAAAATAGTTAAAATGATTCTTATGGTTTGGATATTAAGTGCTTCCAAAAGGCTCATATGCTAAAGGCTTGGTTACCTCCTGTGGCACTACTGGGAGGTAGAGAAACCTTTAAGAAGTAGGGTCTGGTGGAAGGAAGTTAGGTCATGGGGTGCCCTTGAAGGGACACTGAGACATCAGGTGCTTCCTCTTTGTCTTTGTTTCCTGGCCTCCTCCACCATACACTCCCACTTTGATGTCCTGTGCCTTCATAGGCCCAAAGCAATAGGGTATAAAGTAGCCATTGGACTGCACCCTCTGAAACTGTGAGCCAAAATAAATCTTTCCACCTTTTATTTATTTATCTCAAGTACTCTGTAACAACAATGGAATGGACACCCTTGTAAGCTTCATTATATATATTTTACCACAAAGAAAAATTAATTAGCTGCATTTGGTTTAATCTTAGTAAAAATAGTTAGAAAATGTAGAATGGTACTGAATACCTCTAGCAGAAATGATAGTCAAAGTATTTACCACTTGGTACACCCTAGGTCCTGACTAATTAGAAGAGATCCCCAACCCATCAGAAAAAAAAAAAGATGCCAATAAGCCAGGCACATAACTATAGTCCCAGATACTTGGGAGGATAAGATATGGGGATAGGAAGTTTGAGGCCAGTCTATGAAATTTATCAAGGCTCTGTCTCAAAATACTTTTACAAAGTGGTTGGGGACATGGCTCATTGATACAGCACTTGTACAGCATGTGCAAGGCCCTGGGTTCAATCTCCAGTACTGCTAAAACAAAAACCAAAATGAAAGATGCCAATACATGAAGAAAGACAATGGCATAAACAACCAGGATGCCCGTGGTGGTGTATAACACTGGTTATCTGTTGTACTTCTAGTGATAGTTTTCTATTCCCTTTTTCCTTGGAACTTCTTAAGGGACAGTGAAAAACACCATCAAATTCTCCTTTTCTTCCATCAGCCATAGCACCATCAGTTGAGCTGATTCCTAATAATGATTTAATCATATCCTCCAGCAATATATAGACTGGATCTACAAAATTACCCCTGATAAATCTTTTTTTTCCCCTAGATGAATATCTGAGGATTGAACCCAGGGCCTTTTACCTGCTAGACCAGTGCTCTACCACTGAGCTCCACCCTCACTTCTTTTTAGATTTTATTTTGAGACAGGTCTTGCTAAGTTAACCAGATTGGTCTCAAATTTACAATCCTAATGCCTAAGCTTCCCAAGCAGCTAGGATTACAGGCATGAACCACAGCTGGCCCAATAAATCATTTTTAGGATGTGTTCAACCACAGGTTTTCTATATACATGAATCACCTCTACTAAGGCATTGATTTTATTATTTTCTGTGTTGGAAGCTAAGTTGTTCCCAATTTCCTTCTAAATCTTGGTGGTTTATAATTACAGGAACAGCTAAATTTCAAATAAACAATTAGCTACATTGGGAGGGCAGTGTGTAAAGCTGTGAGTGTGAAGCCAAAGGTGCAGTGGAGACCCCAGACAGGTGGAGAAGCCGAGAATGTGGATCATCAGGAAAACTACAAGGAGGGAGCAGAGCCGGCCCAACAAGCCATGGGAGCTGCAGTCACCAGCAGTGCTGTAAGGGCAGAGCCACCCAAGCCCTTTGGAGTTCACAACTTGCCATCCATTGCAGAGGACGCTCAAAGTGGCACTGTGGGGTTTAACGCTTGCCCTCTTGGATTTTGGCCTTGCTTTGTTCCCATATCCCCGTTTGTAACTTTTGGATGGAAATATCTATCTCGTGCCATTGAATGTTGGAAGTGTTCGATTTTCTTTTCATTTGTACAGGGACTCACAGCTAAGACTTTGCCTTAAATCTCAGAGGAGACTTGGAATTTGGACTTTTCAGCAATGCTGAAACTGTTAGGACTCTGGCAACACTTAGAGATGGACTAAATGCCTTTTGCATAAAGGGATTGTGCATGAGTCTTTGGAATGCTGGAGGCAAAGTGTTATGGCTTGTGTCTAGATGTTCTCCCAGACCCTCATGCAGTCATAGGTGCAATCATAGGGGCTTTTTCAGAGGTGGCTGGATCTAGAGTATGTGACACTGGGATTGATTCATGATGCAATGCTAGGCTCAAGGGTACCAGGACTAAGGGTGTGAGTGCTATCCACCTTAAGTAGCCTGGATAACATAGAAGAGATAGAAAGAGCTGTGGTCAATCCCTTGTTGCTTTGCTACCCTCTGTCCTCCATGAACTGTTTCTCCTCTGCAATAACACCCTGCCTTGGAGCAAGCCGATTATGGACTGAAACCTCTATATACTGTGAGCTAAACAAACCCTTCCTCCTTTAAATTTGGGTGTTGGGTATTTTATCTCAGCCACGCAAAAATTAACTAAGACAGATGTGTTCAACCACAGGTTTTCTATACATGAATAATCTCTACTAAGGCATTAATTTTATAATTCCATGTTAGAAGCTGAGTTCTCCCCAGTTTTCTTTTAAATCTTGGCACTACATAATCACAGGAAAAATTAAATTTCAAATACACAAATAGATATATTTATACATATTTGTACTTATCTTTTGAGGGGCACTGGGGCATTATGTCACCAAG